GGGGGGGGGGGGGAGGAGCACGAAAGCATAATGATACACTAAACCTTAGACCCGAGGAGTGACAAGTAACTAATTTCTCTTTACAACCCCCTGAAGCACACATTAAGCCCCTGAGAACAAGCGAAATGATTACCAACTAAGAAACTCTTGATTGTTAGACAGATTCTCCTTGTCAGCACCATGCAAAAATGTATTGAGAATATGAATACTGATGTCACAGTTGAAAAGTCACCACAAACTAACACCAAAAACCTGCTGTCTCCTACCCCCAACAATCAAGTCAAGTCACAGAATTTTTGGATCACTTTGATTCAAATACAGAACTGCACAATAACCAACACTATGATGACAGTTGTAGAAACAAAAGGCACATAAAATAAACCTTTTGAATTGAAACATAATTAGAGCTAGATACCACCAATTCATGTTTTTCAACATGTCTGCTGTAAATTCTTGTTATAAATGAATCTTCCCTCCAAGTATGGGCAACTTAAACACACACTGCTGAAAAATCAGGAACCTGGATATGGAAGAGTCTTGCAGTCAAATGCACATATCCCGAACTTTAAATTATTTTTATCTTCAAGCAGCATGAGACATTAGCGAGTAAGACTGTTATATAGCCCCTATTAAAAATCCTCAAAAACACTTTTGCTCCTCCCTAGATATCGAAGCTAAACTGACGTCATCAGGTGGGGAAATTCATTTGGAATTGGAATAACTTTTAGAAACATGACTTACGATAGGTGATGACATTGGAAAAAATGGACTTGTTTTTAAGTTCAATCTTTATTTTTTTACTCTAAAATTATGAGATATCAGGATTTTCCAAAGTCCTGTACATCTCTAGAGTTATTTGGAAGCCCATACTGGGCAAATGTTAGCATTTTCAAAGCCAACATTTTACTAGTCCACAGAACAGGCATAATTTTTTAATGCTCTTCAGGTGACTGAAGGCAAAGGCCCCAAGGGAACTGATTTTGCACTACCTCCCTTGCACATGACTCCTTCTGTGTGCTTGCCTCTGCTTGACTGAAAAAATGCAAAAAAATTATATCTGTTCTGCAGGCTGATATTTTACTCACATTGCAAATAGTGAGATGATATGGAATTATTTTCTGGGGTAAAAAAAAACAACTTTAACTTCTAGGGGTGAATTTTTAACCATCAGATAGTAAATAATTATTAAAATATGTCTGCTGATGTCAGATTGTACCCCCTTGTGTTCTGTAAGTCAGCCATCCCAAACTTGAAGTCTAAAAGAAACCATCTTAACTTACAGTGAAGGATTTACCTATATATCTTTAAAACTTAAAATATTCTACTAGGAATTACTCGAATCTAGCAATAAGCACCATCATTAAAACTCCCACCAACATTCCAAGAATTTCTTTGATGGATTGTCCCAGTTTAGTGTCTTCTAACAATTCAGGGATAACAGACACTGTTGCAATGTAAATGAAACCACCAGCGGTGAAGGGCAGGATCCACAGTGTTGCAGATTCACCTATGTTTTCTGCTAATAGGCCACAGAATGTACCAGCTAATGCTCCTGTGGCTGTTGTCAGTTGAAGAAACATTGCCTGTAAAGATAAATGCAAACATTATGCTGGTGGATGCAACAGCACATCCCCAAACTGAAATTCAAGAGGGGTGGGGCAGGATGATAGTGTGGTAGGGATAGATGGTTGTTTAAAACAATGATAATTTGCTGTGCTAGGCTAAGCTACCCACTCATTTCAGGTAGAAAATTATTACAAGCACAGCATACATGTTAGTCTGGCATGGGAAAATATTATTTCCCATAAAAATGTTTTAATCTAGTAGTGTGGTTTCATTGGGAAGGCACTTGGTAAAATAATAAGTTCTATGAACTTTTTTGGAGCAACTGCTGGCTTATATATTGTCCCAAATCAATCACAGTCATACTGGACACTGTTGATGCTGGCACCCAGAGTTCTTTTTTTCAGAGTATGCCTGTATCATTTACTGAATAACATCATCTTTCACTTAAACCACCAAGCTTAAAATGATCTATCTTCATTTACATCATCATTATTCATTCCTATCCCAGCAGTATAGGAAGGAAGATTGCCACCATGGACCTAGACAAACGGCCTAGCCTTCCACCAATCTCCTACAGCTCAGTGGTGGAAGAACCAAAGAAGGTCATAAGTTCAACCCTTTTTGGATTACACAAAGCACTCAAGAGTTTTTTTTTCACCGAGTATACCTGTGTCATTCATGAAAAAACATCATCTTTCACAACCTGAAGAAATTTATGCTTGGTTCAGGTGTATGACGAGCCCTCACTACCCAATATGATTCAAAATCCTCAGCCATTTCTGATCAAACCTAGGAGGAAATAGATAATTTCAAGTGAAAGGCAGTGTTTAATACTCTTACGAGAAATCTCAATAGTATCAAGATAGTCTGAAAATGTCCATAGCCAAGTTTGGGAGAGGTGTAAGCAAATAGAATTTAACTATTGTGTAAGGCAACACTACGAACTTGAGAGCATTAAATTAAATGTAATAATTAAACTACAATTCAAGACGAATTGCCAACAGCATGTGATGTAACATATTTATGCAAATGAATGCAATCCAAACAAACACTTTTTAAACATTTTCCCTAGGTATGCCACAACCCACATTTCTATAACTGCCCCTCAGATCAAACCTTTTTTTTTAGAGCACAGCCCATCTAAAGGCCACTCATAACTATTAATTCCCACCTTAAAAAATAAATTGTACATGGAGCAAGAATATGTGGAAACCATATAGTGGCAACCATACTGAGTTTAATAATCTTATACTGAAGTGAAGAAACATTTTAAGAAAAGACATGTAGGTCTTTAACCTTGATAACATATGAATCATGAAACAGTACGTATCATATTGGCAAAAGTACCAATGAAGTTACAGCTTAACATTGCACTACATGTTGTACTCACCTTTCTCTTGTTGCATCCTGACTGTACCAGAATAGCAAAATCTCCAATCTCATGAGGAACTTCATGAAGAAGAATTGTTAGAGTGGTTATAATGCCAAGATTACGGCTCACAAGAAAAGATGCTCCTATGGCTAGTCCATCAGTGAAATTATGGGTAAAATCAGCAGCAAGATTGAGGTAGCCAGCCACTTTGATATCCTCTTCATGATCACGTGGTTCTGCAAAAAGAACAAATATATCACTTCTCTGATCTGATTTGTAATTTCTTTTCTAGTTTGTAAGCATTGTGCAATAATAGGAAAATAATGTGTTATAATAGAAAAAAAATCCCAAACTTTCAAAAAATATATCTATCAGTTCTCCCGACCTGTTTACTGGACCACAAATTGATATTTTAAGCAGGGTTTGAACCCTTTTTCAAAAAAGAATTTTTGAGGACTATTCCAGGACTCGGATTGATTTTCCAGGACTCCAACTATCACCTTAAATTCTTTCATTCCCAAGATTTCCAAATCAATTCCCCTTACAGTAGAGTCTACATACATTTCTTCTGACCTAAATTCTGAGAACTTTATTACTTGAGTGAAGCAAAACAAAGTGTTAATTACAGAAAGGTACTTCATTTGAAAATGGAAATTAATCACCAAAACCTGACTTGTAATATCAAGATTCAAGCGTGAAATTGATCAATATATTAATAGTTATTTAAGGTTATTTTTCAAGGATACTATTAGTTGACAAATAAATAAGATTAAAAAAATTGTACAGGGCTTTCATGATAATTTAAAATGGCGAATTTACAAACTGGATAAATACATCCTTTTATAGAAGAACAGCCATTCTGGATTTTAATTAGGGAAAGTATTGGATAAGAACAATTTCTGTGGCAACACATCATTCAGTTGGCTTTGAAACCAGTTTTAATCTCTGGTCTTTACGCTAATTACACGAAAAAAAAAATTAAATCGTATGAAAATCGGGCTGTATAGGTAGCAATTTTAATTCATGATAATATTGGTTCAACGCAGAAATTATCTTAAAAAAATAGGCAAGACGCAAGTAAAATCACTGACAAAAAGTGGGGATTTCACTGGGTGAAACGTGTATTCACTATGAGCGAAACCCGCGGCTTCTCGATTTCACTTGAAGCTCGAAAGAAGAACTGATCTACGTCAACGAAGGCGAAATTTCAATTAAATTCAGAAATTCACACTGCAGCATGTAAAAAAAAAACGATAAGACACGAACAATAGCGTCTAGTGTTTACCCAGCCACAAGGATTAGTTTCACATGGACACGTCGACGAAGCTTGAAATTTGCATATTTCGTAACTAACTGAGGATATGTGATATATTGATTTTCATACTCGAAAACTCCAAAAGCTGAAATAATACACTTGAAATTAATGAATTTTGTTACAACAAAACGGGGGTTACCGTGGGAAAGTACAGCTGTGACCTAAACGCTGTAAAATCGATGATCAGGCGACGGAAGACGAAGAGATTTTAACAGTCGATTTTGTAATTTGTTCTTGTGTTTGGTGGAAAGCGTGACAGACTAAAAATGGAGATCTAAATCAAATAGTCGCACAGTACAAATTGAATAAAATTTGATGAGACCCTCTTACGTGTCAAATAATATTGCATACGAACTAAGAAAAAATAGTATTGCTGGAAAAGTGAAATTAAAAATTTAAAAAGCGTGACTGTGTGTATTTAGCTACATCTAACTAAAAACAATATCTATCTTTGATGGTTTCGTACCAAAGAAGCTTCATACCTGAGGCACTTTCTGATTTATTTTCCTTCTCTGATGCCTCGTCTGTCTTCTTTCTCTTCCGTATTTCTTGATCAGTCTCTTCTGGTTAGGAGTTCTCATGTTCATGTCCGTTCTTCGGAGACACATCACCGTTTTTAGCTACAATTTTCGGGGCACCATGCGAGTGTCCATGCCCTCCCTTCACAAGCCGAACAAATTTCTCAACCATCAAAAAGGCAATCAAACCAGCTAAAACCCAGAGACCGACAGCCATTTCTGAAGAGTGGTCATGATGATGCTCGCCGTCATGGCTGTGTTGATGAGAATGAGAATGCTCGTGGCCATCACCGCTTCCGTGTGAGTGCGGAGAAATCGCATGGGGGATCAAATGAAGAAAAGCATCTCCCAGAAGGCCTCCTGAAGCAAAGGCTAGAAGGACCTTCAACAGCGGTTGTTGTTCGGCTGAGTTACTTTGCAGGGGGATAAAGAACAGGATGAAAAAAGGTGCCGCGCTGATGAGTAACGTAGCACCAATTGCTTGAAGCCATTTGGTTGTCAAGTTTCCATCGCGGGATGGTAGCTTAGAAGAAGAACTCGTTCCATGGTGAACGTACTTTTGCTTTTCATAATGGTCATGGCTGTGACTGTGATGATCATGGCTGTGGCCGTGGGAGTCATGGCGGTAATGATCGTGGCTGTGACCGTGGGAATCGTGGCTGTGGCCGTGATGATCGTGGCTGTGACCGTGGCCATGATCATGGCTATGTCCATGCGGGTGATGTTCGTGGGAATGTCCGTGTTCTACTTCAGCATCGTGGTCGTTATTTTCCAACCCATGCAGCGTTGAAAAGAATGAAAGCAGAAGAAAAACGCAAATTATCCTACGAACCATTGCAGTACACCGTTGTTTCAAGGATGACAGCTTGTTCGCGTTCGACTCAGCAGAATTTGCCGGTGTTTTAGGCCTGTTGTACTCTTTATCAGCTGGTTGACGTGGTAAGCATGCGCACATAAGATAATCACTTCCAATCTCCACAATAGTCCCAGTCCCCGACGAGACTGGTCAGCGGTTAACCGTGTCCAAATAAAGATAAAACATCCCTTTCTCCCCATCACTTGGTGGTCATCTTTCTTATGGTGGTGCAATTAGGTGCTTCCAAAATGGCTGTTCATCAAGGGTAAAGTTTATCCATGATCACTGTGTGATATCGTGATCAACAATTTTACAAGTGATCTTTTTTTCTCCATAGATCGTCACCATCGCAAACAAAGCAAATCTTGTGCAGGTAAGTACATGCTTGTGTATTATCATGGTAAACTTTTATGTTTCTCCGTTACCGGCTTTTTCTTTGTATGTTATTTTTGTCTTGTTATTAAGGGTCTTGGTTTTTATTTTCTTTAGAGGTACGTATCAATCGATATAAGCAAAACTTGTAGTTTCCAAATAATCGTGTGATTTATAGCTCGCATGTGGCGTCAAATTTCGCGTTGGTAGATGCTTTTAAAATCGGAGACCATTTTTAGATATACCATATGCCTCTCAAAAGGTACTTCATAAGGTAATCAAAATTAATAATTTGGCTCAGTCAGTTACTATGCCGTAGTAAAATTTTCCCAGATACACAACATCGGGGTTCCAGGGTTGCTTAAGAAGAAAAGAGGATTTCTGTGATGGGTAGAGGTGGGATTGGATTTGGGACTAAATTAAGCTACTTCTCATTCAAGTAGAGATACTTTCCTTGCTTTTTTTTTATTAACAGATAATACTTAGGTTCAGCTTTCTTAGCTTTCTTTTAATCTGATCTCACAACTTCCACTTTCTTGTTATTATTTTGTTCCTTTACTATTATTATTACTATTATTATTATTATTATCATTATTATTTGATTATGAGTGTCAGAGGCTTCTGAACCCTATTTTATGATGTAAGGGAAGTCCTAGATGATTTTAGATTAAATGTCAATGCTGTAGGAGTTTATTTGTTTTAGTTCTGCCCCTCTTTTTATCAGATGTTTTATTGTGAGAATTTTGCCATGGAATATTTCTCTTTTAATTTTTTAAAATTTAATATTATGTATGTTAGACAAATGTTCATCATTTGGTTCAATGAAATTTATTGTTATATGTTATTTTTATCACTGTTATTATTATTATTATAATTGTTATTCTCATTATTCCTATTTGATTATCATGACTCATATTATGTTGGATGGCTGTTTAGTGCTAACCATGGGTTAAATTTTAATCATAGTTTCTTAATTTCTTTGCTCAAGAGTCTTTTTTGGGATAATTTTCTCTATTCTTTTTAAAAGAATTGTAATGAATTTTTTCTTTTAGGACTTTCAGTTCAGAAATCAGATTTCACATTAACACTGGGTTATCTTAACCCAGCATTAACCAGCTGAGTCTTTTCTAAAATCATTTTTCCCTTGATCTTCTTTTCTTTCTTTCTTTTTTTATCTTACCCAACTGATCAACTCACATTCTTGACAGGGAAAGTGATAACAAAAGAAAAGCATTTCATGGGAATGGCCTTAGTAAGGAAAGCAAACAAAAAAATTTGAAATTTTTTATTGCTTTGATTAAGGTACTACATGCATGGAGCCTGCAGAGAAGGAGAGAACTGCCAGTATTCTCATGATTTAAAAGAAAAACCCTCTATGGTAAATGATAAAGAATTTTTACCAAATAAATAATCCAGATAAGTATGCTACGAGTAACCATGTGTTTTTTCCCTTTTGCAGTCACCCACATACATTATTTTGTTTATTTATTTATTTTTTTTACTGTCTTGATGTAATGCAATGTGGGATTTCCTCTTTGAAGTTAATAAAGTTCCCAGGTCCTTCCCTTTTATGCTCCTTTTGAACACATGATTCTATAGTAATGATTAACTTGCAAAAAAGCATTCATGCCAATATTGGGAGAAGGTTTCTAACTATTTGTTGGCTTCTTGTGGTGTTGCCTTGATGGAGAATTTTGTGATTTGTTCGGTTTTGATTTTGAATGAACACTAAGTTAAAAAGCTCTCTAATTAACTAGTAATTAAGTAAAGGGGGTAAGTTTCTCAAGAAACTGTGGTGCTGCATTGGTTGGGGTAACAAGGTAATTTGGAAATATCGACTAACTTGAAATTGTAAATTGGCCACCATAAAGATTTAAAAAGCTGATGTTCCAAGCGTTAGCCCTTCGTCAGAGCGAATGGAGGAATTGTGGGTTGTGTCTGGGTTTATATGCAGAAAGTGGAGCTACGCTATTGGTGAGAACACGGCGATGGGAAAAACACAAATAAATTAGTAGAATGAAAAGCGTTCATTGATACCTGTGGGATTTAGAGTGCCGATTTGAAAGATAAACTTTTGTTCAAGAGTTTTGTGGCTTTCCAAGCTACTTAAATGTAAGGAAAGACTGCAGATTGCCGTATGTTGCTTAGAATGGTTAGGTAGATTAAAGTGTCTAGGGACTGTTTTTGATGTATCCGTGTCATTCCTTTCTACGTCGTGAAGGTGTTCTTGGAATCGGTCACCTTGTTGTCTTCCTGTTTCGCCGATGTATATGTTTTTGCAATAAGTGGAAGTTATGCAATAGATGATGTTGGCTGAGGTGCACATGAAGTATTTCGCGGAATTTGCTGTGATCAGTGATCTTAATGGATCATTTGGATCCCTTTATTTTTTCAGCGTTGTGAATTTACAGTTTCAAATTCAGTTGATATTACCAAATTAACTAGTAATTAGTTCTTACAAATTCATCGCCATCCCCTCCTACAATACCCTTTAGTGTTTTGATGTAAAAAGTAAATTTTTTGAATAACCAAGGTATTTTTCTAAAGGCTGATAGTTTCGAAAGAAACTGTTTGGGGCTGCGTCGGTGGGAGTAATGAAATAATTTGGATATTTTAACTAAGTTGAAATGGTAAATTGGCCACCGTAACGATTACAAAAGCTGATGTTTCGAGCGTTAGCCCTTCGTCGGAGCAAAAGACGAATTCGCATTCACTCCGACGAAGGGCTAACACTCAAAACGTCAGCTTTTGTAATCGTTACGGTGGCCAATTTACCATTTCAACTTAGTTGATATATCCAAATTATTTTTCTAAAGGTTTGTAAGTACTATCTACAAGGGTCCTGTTCATATGGAAACAGCTGCCGCTATGATCACGTCAAGCCATCTTCTGGAAGGTATAATCATGGCTCTGCTTGTATTTTTTTCTTGAAAATATTTAGTCCACCATTCAAAATCATGACCTCAGCTAGTGATTAGGGAAAGGGAAGGCTTAAAAGAGCTAAATACTCAGTCTATCATCCAGGTTTATTTATTATTATTTACATAGCTTGTAAGTTTTAAAATGAAATTTTAAATGTTACACACTTTACTCCCAACTAGGAAGAAATTCTTTTTATTCTCAAAGCACAAGTTCTGTACTTTTACAGAACAACAACTGAGCAATTGGTCTTGCTCTCTTCTGAATCTCAGTGTACATTGCGATACATCAACTTGCAGTCACACCCTCTGCAAAAGTGTCACGCACTCTACAAACATGTCATGTACTCTACATGAACAGTGCCATGTAAGTGCAACTGATAGTGGGAGTAAAAAAATTGTGAAGGAGCTGGGCAGACACTTTTTTAAAAGAAGACAACAGCAGCTGGATGTTCAGGGTTTTTTCCCTTAGTAGTTATCTCTTCAACATTTAAGAATGACCAACATCTAATTTCTTGCTACAACATCACCCCTGAATTGTACATGAAGGTCAAGACAATAAAGGAAATCATTGCCAACTAAAGCAGCTCTTGATTGTTAAACAAATTCTCCTTGTCAGCACCTTAAGAAATGTGCAGAGTATGGTATCGAGAAGATGCATTCTGATGTTAGGGAGTAAAGGGTCATCACAGATCTGTTGTCTTTGCCATGCAGTTTAGAATTCTGACAGGGCTTGTTAGTCATCTGGTTGATGCCAAAGTCCACCTGATAGAAGAAGTGTAATTATGCTAAGCAAAATAAATTCTAATAACCACCATTTACATCTCAGAAAAGTGTATAATCAAGTTCTCCAATCTAAGGGAAAAGAAAAATATTGTCCGAAAACAGCTTAATGAACAATTTTTTTGTTTGTATACATTAATTACAGGATTAGAACTTGTTCAGGACCCAAACCAATTCCACTTCTTCCACAGAGTGATGATAAAAGAGAGGTACTTCAATTTGTATTACTGTCAGTGATGTCATTATCTCATGTGGTTTGTTAGTAGGAAAATTTACCTTGATTTTTTTGTGTTTGCTTTTCTTTCTTTATTAGATGGTTTCACTTACAAAGCAAAAGGCAAAACATCCCAAGAACTGGGCAGATGCACCTGTATTTGTTCCAGTAAGTCATAAGTTAAAGTGCTTTAATTTATTGATTTACTGTTAAGTGTCCACTCTGGGTTTAGCTGTTGCATGATAGTAGAACTGACTAACGCAAGTATGCTATCTTTGGAGTGATGGTTATGAAGCTGCCCTTTGGGAATAGGGGACCCTTTAAAATGTTCCCCACTCCCAACATGTGGCTTAGCAGCTCAATTGGCAGTGGCACCCAACTAGTATTTAAGAGGCATGGTTTGAATCCTGTAAAAGCCTGAATATTTTTCAGGCTACTATGATTTATAATTCCTGCAATTACTAAATATTAAACTGCATCTCACCTGCAAAGATCGTTGCTTTACTTCATTTGTGTTTTACTTTTCAAGGGCCAGGCTTTCATGGGCAAAGGTCTTGTATCATCAGACAAACAGCCAGAGGATACAGATTCTGTAAGTTCTTTTGCTATTTTGACATTTTCAGCTATTTCATTTCAGAAAATAGGTTTTCAAATGTTATAGATCAAGTGTTTTTGAAAACAGAGTTGCAACTTTTTCATCATCAGGATACTGGCACCCAATCATATTCTGCAGTAGCACAGTGTGGAGTTGAATATGTGGATGAACTTACTAATGAAGAAGCATCTGAAACAGTAAGTCATAAAAGTTGGACAAGTAATTTTCTAGATATCAAGAAGGTC